ATGTCTCCTTCATTGCGTTGCTGCTTGTGATGTTTGCAAGACCATTGCAGAAACTGCAGGGCAGATGATGCATCAGAGTCCTGCATTGCTCCTCTTCAGGGAATCAAAGATCTCAAATAAAGTGGTTCTTCCTCTGGAGTAGGCCCACAGTGTGTTTCAGAGGGATGTTCATTAATAACAGGTACATTTTTGAGATAAATCATAGGACAGATAAAAACTGGGGCATAAAATGGACTCTCTGTTAAATAGTGGAAAATCTATACTCAAAAATGCTTGGTGACTGGATATGTCCTAATATACTTCAGCTTAAGCTCATCTCAGCAATTGGTTGCAAGACAAATCTGTAGAAAACCTTGTCACCTTTGTGTTTCTGGAATGATTTAAGGGCTCATAAAGTCAGGTGTCCTTTAGACCTACAAGATACTTGCCAAGGACCTCACTAACGTTGCCAATTGCAATTTTGGCTTGCAAAGTTTGGGACAGCCTCGCATGTAGGGCATCGTGCAGCTCATGTTTTGACTTATTTTTCAACACATTTATTTTTTCTCAGCAAAACAAGATTTGGCCTTTGAACATAGAATCCTTCAGTCTGTGATCTTAACTGGTGCTTTGACTAAACCTCCAGTGGTTTTATGTGAATCCAGTGACTCCCATACGTTCAAAGGGCATACAACTGTTCATGGTTTGGAAATGGATTCTAAGGAATAATACTGTGGCAAGTCTTCAGGTTTTCCTCTTGTGTGGTTTTTGGTTCGTTGGTTTTATTCTTTTTTCTTACCTAGGTTAGGGATAGGGAATTTCATCTCATTTTTTTCCAGAGTGAAATGAAAGTGTACAGACTCAGTTATGAACTGGCAGGGAAGCAGATATCTGCCTGGAGAAAATTAAGGGTAAGAGTTACTTTCACTTCCTTTAATTGCAGTTACAAAGCTTGAAGTTTATTACTAGCCTGTTTGAAAATTACCTGTTGTAGATTCTTCCTTAAGTTAAAATACATCAGGGCACAAGGAAGAAGGTATGTAGCCTGGTAGATTGCCACACTTGAGTGTTGTGTTAATATTGTTATTATAGTATCCTCATCTAGGATAAATCTCTGCGTAAGACAACTAGGTCAGATCCTAGAAAAAGAACACTAATTTTCTTTCCTACCAACTTTAGTCTAGCCAAGTCACATTACTCTAGCAACATTCCTTCCTATTTTGATATATTCAGCAAACAGTGCAGAGAATAAGGTCAAGCTTCATTATGATTTTAGTATTGTATTGACCATGGATATTTTTGAAATGGTACAACTCTATCTTACTGTTAGTAAAAAAAGCAGAGGGTTTCTTTCAGTAAGAAAAAGCAGTCATAATAAAGTATAAGTAATAATAATTATATCTCTATACAGGGTGTTATTTTTCACTGCAGACCTTGCCTTAGTTACTTTCAATTAATTTATTGATGAAACTGTATAGCTTAAAATCACATTATAGGTCAAATCAGTTAAAACTGATGATAAACTATAATTAGAGGAGCTTTTACTGTATATCATATATATTATTGTGCGTATTATGTCACATTTTTTTTCTTTGTTAGTGATAACCATTTTTGTAATTAGTGAGGACAACACTAGTACAAAAAAAATGCAAAACAGTTGTGCTGGGAGTGTGTAAATGTCTGATTTTCCTCTGCTTTCCTCCCCCACTGCCCGTGAATGTACATACATTCATGAACATTGAAAGAAGCATTTTGTTCCTCATAATTTCAAACGCTGTCTCCCCTAGGTTTGGCCCAGCAAGTTCATCTTGCATGCTCTTGCTGTGCCTCCCAGAGCAATGTGGTCTCTTAAATCCTTCATCTGCCTCCATGGCTGTGGTGGTTGATATGGCACGTTGCCTTGGGTAAGCTGCTCTTTTCTCTGGCTGTTTTTCTGGCAGAAGAGGGGTTTAATTGCACCTTCTGCTAATCTAAGGGTGTTTGGAACATTTCTGGGCTTTAAATTGTTCTTTAACTATCTACAGATCAAAAGTCTGGCTGACAATAACTGTTAACATCTGTTTTCCAGCATAATAGTAAATATATTTATTTTCACAGAACAAACACATCTCTTGCAAGGCAACTTTTTATTCTTCTGTCTTAGTGACTTTCCCAGTATGCTACCTGTCCTGCACCTGCAAAGTGCAGGCTTTCCTCCCTTGAATGTCTTGCTACTTTTTTGTGTGTACTGTAAAAAAGCTGCATGCAGAGAAAGGCAAGGAAGAGAGGACAAAAAAAACCCCAAACAAACAAACAATAAAACCCCCAACACAACCACCAACCTGAAAAAAAAACCCAAAGCGTCATGTTGCAGTTGCAGACATGATAAATTAACTGAATTTCATTGGTTTTTCTATAGTGACTTTTTAAAACTTGGAAGGGCATTACCTGGGTAATTGACTGTATTTGTGGCTGCAACTTGTGACACTGGTATGGCCCATCGGGGAGCAGGATGGGTCATTGGAAAACGTAGAACACGGGGATTTGATAGTAGGTGAGTTTTACTTTCAGTAAGTCTTACCTTCTTATTCCCTTCAGTTGGGATATTCATAGAGCATCTCCTACCCAGTATCATCCTTGTTGACACTTGTGGGAAAGAGGATCTGGGGAAGCAGAATACAGTTCTGTCTGACTTGACTGACATATCAGAAAATCTAGCAGGAAGGAACTGAATCATGTTTAAAAAGGCTGGGACTATTGTCTAGCTTGATTTAATAGTGAGGAGTTGCACAGATTTCAAGCAACTGACATCAGACTAGGTTAAAAGCTGGCATTTACCCTCCTCTTTGGTTTGTTGAGTAACCTTCAGTGTCTGCTACTGATTATATTTTTTTAAGTTCCAGATGGATGAATTTCTAGGGAGAATGCTTTAGTAAATATTGCAAATAAAACATTGTGTAGCCCTTTCTGTTTTGATGTTACTGTCTTCCAGGGAGACACTGTTTGCTTATCCAAGTATTTGTTTCTGTGCTGTAGTTCAATGTTGTTCCTGTTGAGAGAACACGAGGTACTTGACTGGAACTGTCCCTGGTCACGGCTAGTTGAAGTGGTGGCCTTTCCCTTCTCTAATCTAGCAAACTGATGCTTGACAGTTTCTTTTGATCATGTGTGCCTACCCTTTAAGAAGATGAATTAGTATCTGAAATAACCTCTCATCAACAATGAGAGGTCTTTTTGGTAAGTCATAACACATCATCCTGCTTTTTATTTGGAATATTGATGCTCTTTGTGGGCCAGTTGTCATGTAAAAACAAAACAATACAACCTACAAAGTTTTTTGTTAAACTCTTACATCTTAGAGCCAAGCATTCTTCTGATTCAGGTGCTGTTAGCAGACCTGGTACGTGATTCTGATGTGACTCTGCAGGGACCCCGGACTTGTCTTCTGCAGTTGTACACCCTTGGTGCTGATCAGCAATGTTTAAACCGAATAAATGCAGAATATGAAGGGGCCAAGCATGCAGCCAGCTCTCTGGCTCTAAAAGCAGGATTGTCCTCTTAGTACCTATATCTTCAAGTGAGGCACTCAGTGAAAAGATCAATCTGAAGAAGTGAGCTTGGGCAACTTCCCTTCTTTGCTTCAATGAACTGATAGACTGCCAGAGCAAGGCACTGCCCTTCCTGGTGATGCGTGGAAGGCAGATGGGGAACAAGTTTCTTCAGGCCAGAAACCCCACCCTCCTGCAAGCTAGATTTAACACAAGGAAGCATCCAAGTAAAACACAAGAAACTTTAAAGAACCAAAGTCAAAATTTTAAAAAAATTTATTCCCTCAATTTTATATACAGTAATTACAGACTACTGTACAAAGGTGTGAATGGTCTTTGCTGTGAGTTGTTGTGCATATGCAGTTTAGTAGACAGATTTAACATTCAATTTGAATCTCAGTGCAAGTAGGCACTAAAACATCCAACATACCTCCAAGGTATAAAAAGACATTACCAGTTTTACAGGTTTCTCCAGCATATTGTTACAGGGCAAAATGCTATGAAATAAGGTTTCTTTAGAAAATTCATATAAATTAAACATATTGCACTTGTCCCAACCAAAAGTGTAACAAGTTGTACTTGGTGAACTAGTTTGATACGTTTTAGAACATTCCTAGCACACATGCACTCCTTCCTCCTGGCTATTTGTACCAAATACGTGTAGTTCTTATTAAAAATTTTAGAGCTTTTAGACTAATGCAATCCCTCTTGAACAGACTGCTAAAAAAAAAAAAAAAAAATCACAGCGGATTAACGTAACAAGAAAATTCTCCAAACCCCTTTTCAGTCTTCTTTCCAGTAGCACTGTAACTAAATACATAAACATCGGTACTGTTTAAATTCGTAATGCAAGTGTATTGAACACCAACCCCTAATGTCTGGAAAGGTATGAAACCTCCAGTTCTGAACACATACGTATTTCTACAGTACTTCAAGCTGCTAAGCTAACATTGCACCCACAAACATTTTGTGCAATACCACAGGTAGAACTTTGACTTCTGTACATCACTGGCTGCTATGGAGCATGTTGGGAGAAATAGCACAAAGTTGCATTAACTTCAGAGAACAAAGTCTACTTGGGCTGAATCTAGTCAATACAATCTGTGCATCCACCAAACAACAAATGGCAAAGCTCTTGAGCTTTGAGTTTCCCTAAATCCTTACAAGCCTTGAAATTTAAAGGAACAAGTATGTATGAGTGCAAATGCTAACTCTGTGCTTAAGATATTTATCCAAAGCTGAAAGGTAAGGGAATATCTTAGGAACTTTTTTTTTTTTTTAAGCAAACCAGTATGAATGAAAATGCTACAAAACCCACTGACATATAAAAGCAAAGGAAAAGTAAAACATGGCAAGCTGAATGCTAGTCCATGTCTTAAACAGTTCAGGGTTACCTGCAAAATGCCTCCAACATTTAATTTCTTCCCCCTACTTCACCTTAGAGGACTATACTCCTTCCTGTTACATACAAAAAGAGCATTTATTTTCTGAAAACATTCCTGCATTTAACTCAACTCAGTCATTCAGAACATGAGTGGAAGAAAACCTGATTTCTGGTACTACGACGTTCTCCAGCTCCTCTTCTGAAGCCACAGCAGTAACTGCACAGTACTTTCTAAAGGCAGGTCCCCATCTTACTTGGATACTACTAGATATGAAGTCCCTAATAAGGCAATATGCTTTTTATACAAGTAATGAGATGAAATCTAATTTGACACATTTAGGAACTCTTTATACAGCTAGCATACATTTACACCACTTGTGCGTGTCAAGTGTTTACATTTAAAAAAACCCAACCAGCCGGGCATTGGATGAGGAGAACAAACATACAAGGTTCACAAACTGGAAGGCTGCTGGATTACTGGACCTGGTTCACATTCATGAAGGTTGTCTTCTGACCTCATGTACATTAGGAAAACAGTGACAGTGGCAAAGGTAGCTGCATTGACAGGAAAAGCACGGAGAAGCGTGGAAGTAAGACCTCTTGTGAACACCCTCCAGCCTTCTTCATGGTAACTCTTTCTGACACAGTCTAAAATGCCGTTGTATTGTGTAACGCCTCCGACTCCGTCGGCCTGAAGCCGGGATTTGATCACATCCACGGGATAGGTTGAGAGCCAGGACACGATTCCTGACATCCCCCCAGAAAACAGCAGTTTGGGAATAACATAATTGTCTTCTGCTTCACAGCCTAAATACCTGGTCATGCAGTCATAGGTCAGGAAGTAAAAGCCAAAGCTTGGGGTCTCTCTTATAAATGTAGAGACCATGCCCCTGTTGATACCCCTCAGCCCTTCCTTTCGATAGATTTTGATCAAACAATCCAGAGAATTTTTGTAGTTCTTCGTTTTTAGTTTGTATTCACCTGTTCCTTGAAGCTGCATTCTTGTCTTTGCTAACTCCATGGGACAGCAGATGATGCACTGGATGGCCCCTGCTGCTGACCCTGCGAGGAACTGGTTTAGAGGAGTGTCTTTTCCAAGAGCACGAATTGTGTTTCCTTGTACACCGAACACAAGCGCATTAATGAAGGTAAGTCCCATCATTGGTGACCCAATACCTTTATAGAGTCCAAAAGCCTAATGGAAGAAAGAAGGAAAAATCTCTTTTAAACAGTGGTGTTGATAACCCAAAACTCTGCAGAACATGACCTTTCTGGCTCTCCCTTGTGCCCTCACTTTCTAACAGTGGCCAGAAGATCAGTACCACCTTGCTTTGTAATAGTTGTTTCATCACTGCCTACGACACAAACATCTCAACATTTTTAGCAGTACAAATATCTAGTTGAACACATCCAGAAAATAATCTTAGTCCATCCAGATAAAAGTTTTCTGGTAAATTTTATATCTGATTTTTTTTAAAGTAGTTAAAAGCCTAAAGCCACCCTTTTAGTTATAGTCTTAAAGTTTCAGCAGAAAAAAACTCACCAATTTCTTCACTCAGATTGCTTGGATTCTCAGAAAATTAGCTGTTCAAATAACTTATCTAAAAGGTTAACTTCAAAATATCAACTTCTAACTTAGTGATCGTCTTCACAAAGTTTCTGGCAAACTTCTGACTACACTATCTGCCCTATGGTCAGATGAGGTTCAGAGTATGCTTTTCTCTTGATCTTCAATACTTCTAGGGTTTTTTTTTTAACAGCTTTCCCACCCTTTGATACAAAATATATGGAGATACAAAATATGAAAAGCATTAATTTTGTACTTACAGATTCTTGCTTTATGATGGACTGAAAACAATGGAAGGTCCCACGGTAGAGAGGTTTCTCTACATTTTGAACTTGTAGACGAACCTATGAAAAGTTGTATGAGATACTGATTTGTATGCCGAGAGCAGCCTAATTAGTAAACTAGTGTCTTGGACATATGTGGAGATTTGCTATAGCAATGCATATGCAAGAACACAGGCTGGACACTGGAATGCCATATGTGGCAAAAGAATTTTAAAATATTCTGTAAGTGTTTTGAATTAGTTTTGGGGGTACAAACATGAAGGGAGGAGGCCTATTAACTTGTTGTGAATATTATAAAAACAGTATGTGGAAGTACAGCAGGGTACATTTATCTCGAATTTCAGATTGAAATTTTCCAGTACTGGCTACAATAAGTACTTTCTTTAACTGCCAAGAATACTTCTGTTCACACTAAGGACTATCTGTACAAACCTGACAGAATTTGATAAAAAATTATTTACAAGTCAAACATGAAATAAGAGTAACTGTGAAAGGATGGAGACTTTCAACACCACCACCCACAGTGTTTCCAGCTACCAGACTTGGGACCCTTCACTGAGATCTGATTTTTTTTTTTTTTTTTTTTCTTCCCCCAGAGGGTAGCTGGGAAGAGACTCTTAAGATGTCCTTACTCTGCATAAGGCAAAATAAAAAGCCACTTGTCCTATTAGATTTTAGTCTGCTTTTCTTTAACTTGTTAAATGCAAACAATTTGTGAGGGTGTGGCTGTTTCAAATCTTTAATGTTAGTAATCAGTTAACTTTTCCAAAACTGAAGTGGTATGTTCTGCTGGACAGACAGAAGCTACTGTAACTGGTGACATGAGAAGACAGGCCAACTGTCTGCATGTTTTTAAACATTTAATGGGAAAGTCCAATTCAGTTTTTCCTGCTAATTTGTCCTTAACACATTTCAAACAAAACAAAAAAGACTCAAAGCTACCTAGTTCATACAAAACCCCTCATTGCAATAAACTCAATAAAATGGTTTCACTGGGTTGGGGAAGTTGGAAAGCTGTCTTCGATCTCCGGCATGGAGGGCTGCAAGGTTCCTCAGAATGGATGCTTATCAACCATTCAATGCTGCTGCTGCTGCAAATCCAGGGCAAAAAAACTTAAAGGCTCTTATTCTGAACAAAAGAAAATAATATCAGGTCTATGTGAGAGATTCCTGACTGTAAAAATCTTTTTATTGTTTGCCTAATGTAGTAATAAACACCACCACAACAATAAGAAATTATGTAAGATTATGTTGGTCTAGAAAAGGATTCAGGGACATGGTTTGTCAAAATTCTATACTCAGGTTAGCTTTCTCTGAGGCAAAAAATGAATTAATTACAGTTTCAGTATTTTTTTTTAATATTCTTACGACATCTTGTTTTATGTTTTGTGAATCAATACTTCAGTTTTCAGTGTCTTTTTAGTATACATGTTAAGTGTGTGCTAGTCAGCCTGGAAGGCTGAGATCATCTCAGGTCTTCCAAGATGGAAGAGGGTTTTAAAACATCTTAGCATTAAAAGCAGGCTTATGGTTACTCAAAGTGATGTTTGAGAAGCAGACCCGCAAGCAAAGTCATAAATCTTAACAAGCTGTCAGAACTGCACAAAAAGGAGGTTTTACTCCATTTATAAACCTACTGATATCGTGTTAAACCCTGCCTGTGAAGTTGAGGGACTTCTACATGTATGGGCTTTGGGAGAATTGCAGCTTAGGAACCCTCTTATTTTAACTTCTCTATATGCTTGTCTTTAGTAGTTTATAATTAGCCATATTCTGTATATAGGTTGAATTTCCTAGTGGCATACAACTCCCACTATTTTTGTCTAAATAATTAGTGAAATACTAACTAATTAAGCCTTGTTGTAGGATAAAATATTTAGAGAGTACTGATGCTCCAGGTCTGAGAATGAAAACCAGCTCTTTCATTAGAGCACAGTGATGACCACAAAGGAGTACTCATATTAGTAAACTACCAGATAAGGCAATGAATACATATGAAACTTCATTTCGTAAGTACTAATGTCACATTCAGTAAGATCTTTAGTGTGTACAACTACAGGAAGGATGAATCATGTGCAAAGTTTAACCCTCTATTCTATTCATTGCCCAATATTCTTGCTTTGTTCTTTTTTGAAACCACTATTGCTAAGGTTTTAGGTTCAGTAGTAACACACTGAAATTTCACATCACTAAGGACTTGCTCAAGACTAAGCAAAAAAAACCCAAAAACAAACCCAAGCCACCACACCCTCAAAACAGTCTAAACATTTAATAATGTGCGTGAGATAAGTGAGTTAGAAGTGTTTGAGCAATTAAAATGTCCTCCAAGGATATGTAGTGGATAAGACCTCAACAACAGTGTGCCTGAGATTGTTTTAGAGGCACTGTGTGTGGAAGTGTATACAGCCAGAAATGAATACCAGAAAGAAGGTTCAGAATAAGACTTTATATTAAAAAAACCAAATTAAAAGGGATATTCAAACCCCGCTCCCTCCATGCCGTAGCTGTAGAAGAGGGACACATCAGTTTAAAACTAAAAAGGAAAAAAGCTTCATAAATCTTTTAGATCTTTATTTGAACTAATACATTTGGGAATAAATTAAGACTGAGAGAAACAGAAGTGTTCACCTGGGCTATACTTACTAGGTAACTCTCCCGTGATGAGGCTTATCTGTCATCTACAACAAAGTAACACTTTTGCTGTTAATGAAGACAGCCCCTAGCTCAGAAAGTAAAGGCAGTTAAAAGCAAAAAAGCAATTTTATACATTACATCAACAAACCAGGGATAAGGAGTTTGTCAGTTCTAAGATCAGCTCAGTTGTGGACTTTGCAGGGTGACTTCACCAGCTTGATATCTCCCTGGGTGTCCCACCATCCCCCTCCCCACTTTGTGAAACATGATCACCAGCCAAAAAAAAAAAAAAAGAGCTTAAAAGCCAAGACAGAAGCAAAATTCTGGTTTATCTAAGCAGCTTTCCCATTGTTCAGTTATATTAAAAACTTACAGTCTAAGGTGACTACCAGCTAGCCCTTTAAGCACTGCAGAACTATAAAAATGGTTAATTCTTAACACATATACATACACAACAAGTTATGCAGTGTCTTTTTTTTTTTTTTTTTAAAGACTGGTTACAGTGTTAGTTTTCCCACATATGGTAGTGACTAATAACACAAACATTAGTATTTTCTCTAACAAAAAAAATAGATAAATGCTTATACCGTCTTCTAATGGGTATGAAAATATAGTGTGCCACACTGGATTTCATAAAACATTTAAAGTCATCCAGAAACAAACAATTTGCTCTACCATAAAGCAAGATGCTTTTTCTAAAGCTAACACATCTATTTTGCATTAATACATCTGCTAGAACTAGCCCCAGTTTTGCAGACACATAAGTGTCTAGTTTCATACACTAGAAACTGTTCCACTTTAAAAACCAAAAAACCCCCACACATGCTTAAGTTTAGTCTGAGAGTAAAATTATAGCAGTTTTCCTGGCTTCAGTGAAATGACCCATCATCTTAAGTTAAGCATATAAAATCTGGCAGGATGGGGGTGAGAGAAAAAGACAGCTGGCCCTGTACCACTGTAAAAAAAAAGTGCAAGTCTGGATAATGCCATTCCTGAAAATATATACTAGAATTCAACCCAATTACTTCATAGTCAAATTTACCATACTCTGAGAAACATACATACAGTTTTTAATATTTGAGCAGCTTGCACTTGACTGGCAAGGACTAATACCCACTAGCTAGGAAATTCTGTATTGAATTAACCATATGCTAGAATACAGAATATGGTGATGGCCTCGGTAACACTATCAGCCCTTTGCATATCTAAATTCAGCAAGGTAGAGGTATTCCAAATATAGCTCTAGCGGGTGGCATGCTGTCTGCTGCAGTCAAGTGATCTGGCATATTAATTTAGCAGGGAATATATTGGCATCCCTTCTCCTATTCTTCCTGTGAGAGAATTTGGATAAGGCTGCCAAAAGTAACTTAAGTTGTCATCTCATTGTGAAAAATGTGCTTGGACCCCTGGAGTCCTGGCTGAAGGGCCCTCCAGGAGGTTTCAGATCTTATCTTTGAAGAGGCCTTAGCTATCCTTAGTATGCATAACACATACAGCTAAGTGAATATCAGAAAATCAGTTTTAACTTGGAAAGTTATAAAAATATATGAGTACTTAAAGGGAGGAAAAAGCCCCCAGACAAACTTCATGCTGTGGATTTTTATCCACTTACGCCCTTTGGCGTAACAAATTAATGTTTGAGGAGTAAGTAGCAGGGCTGGAGGGGGAAGCAAAACACAAATTTTTCAATCTAGTAACAAAGAAGATTTGAGTTACAACTGCAGGGGGAGTTTTAGCAGTTAGTGATAAACAGCTGCAGAGGTGCAAGCTTAGAACAAAATTAAGTTTAATGTGAGATTGTATTTTCAAATACAACGTTGTTACTGCACTGATGAACTTGTCGTTTAGACCAACATTTGTCATGTTACCGGGTTGAATCACATATACAAAGAATTTTAACTTCTGAAGAGCTGGGGACTGCAAATCTATCAACAGTGGTTATGGAGGCTTACTCCAAGCTTTTCAGCACAGACTTATGTTCCTACAGTGTCTGGGGATTTTTTTTCCTCCCCCACTCCTTGGAAAAACTTCACATTTTCTACCTAGAGACAAAGGTATTTCATAATTAACCCACCTTAACAGTGTCAAACGGGTGTCCTACCAGCACTCCAGCAGCACCTGAAACAAAACAAATGCCATGGTTATGACTCACAGTTTTCTTCCTGGCTCTGTGGCTACAGAAGCCCAAGGATGACCACCTGCCTGCCAGGTAAAGAGCATCCTATCAAGTCAGAAGATAAAGAGATCTATAGTTCTGCCCTTCAGACCTGTACTAGGTGCCTTCATGCTTCTGAGCCCCAGGCAGGGGTCGAGGTATGTGAGCATGCTGTATCATAGGGGACGCTCAGCAGTGATTCCTGGCCTCAGTCCAAGGCAAGTCCAGTGGGCAGAAACTGCAGATTTCCTCTGAAGCAAAATATCTCATGGATGTGCCCCTCTGTGGAGGCATAGAAAACCTTGAAGCTTCCCTAAACACAGAAGAAAAACCTTGCTCTCTGCCCACAGCCTTTCCAGATGTGATGGTAGCACTTGCAGAAGGACCATACAACATTTGCTTTATCCCAGCAACAAAGGGATTTCTGGAAGTTACACGCAGGCCTGTTTGTTATACGGTCTAATCTGAATACGGGCATTTTGCACTGAAAAACACAAGTCCTGGCTGATGCAAGGGATTCTCTAGCCCCCTACTTCTGCAAACCAGAACTGGAAGTTCAATCCATTTATGACCTTCTCACATTTGCAGAAAGATAATGTCCCTCCCTCTCCACGAGGGGATGCGGCAGAAATACACAGCCCACTCCAGGATGGAGTGGTCCAGGTTGGTCAAGGCCAGCACAGCAGCAAGGTAGTCCAAGTCACAAAACCCGGGATGAGTGCTGTGTTCAGCATGAAAAGACCAGAGGCACAACTGACCACGGGGGATGCCTGGCAAGGTAAGAATCACTAGGGCGAAGTCAGAGAGGAGCTGCAGAAAAAAATAAAAGTAAAATCTCTTTGCCAGGTTGGCAAGAGGAGCAGCAAACACAAATAATTGAAAAGATGTGAGAATAAATCTCCGGAACACAATTTAACAACTGCTAAAAATAGAAGAAGGAAGGCCATGAGCAGATGCGCAGGGACGAGCAAGACGAGCGATGCGTATTCTCTTCTCCTCTTCACGTTCGAGCTCCCCGCTGCGGACATTTCCCGGTCGGAGGGGTCCCCGGGCCTGCTGCTGTCCCCGGAGAGCTCCTTCCCCACCGCCCGCTGCTCCCAGCCCCTC